GAATGTTATTCAAAATAAGTGAGGAACATTTACGAGGATTGTGATCATTTAGGGCTTGGGAAATATTTAGGATCTTGAGAAATAAATATATGCACTTAAGCAAGGCGTAATTGGTGAGTTCAGTTCAAATTGTTTTGTATGATATTGGTGAGCAAATTTTTAATGTGATGTATTAAAAATAATAAGTTTTGCTTGGGGAAAGCAAAAGACAAGTGTGAGGTATTTTGATATTGCTAGAACCAGTCACATATTCTAAGCAATATTTTACTACATTTAGCTATATTTTGGTTATTTATTAAGATATTTGGTACTTTTATGTTTAAAATTCAATTTGTTGCCAAAAAGACATTCCCAAAGGAAAAGGAGGTAATTTGACAAACTGGAAACTTGGAGGTTAGAAGTATAAATCAAGAGGAAGAAAAGAGAAGGAAAACATGCAAAAAGAAGATACTACATCGTGGACGCGTATATGCCACGCCGTGGTGGTTTGGAACCTTCCCGATAATCTACGATGAGACTTCGAGCATACATCATAAAACTGTCTTCCATGGTGTGGGTATCTATTCTCCACGCCGTGGCACCTATTTTAAGGAAACTATATAAACGATTTTTAGGTCAAATTTCGTGTGTGATTTTGGAGCCTACGATTTCCAAAGACTAAGAAAGATCAAATAACTTTTGAGAAACCCTTGGAAGGCTGGAAAATAATTTGAGATCAAGCATTAGAGAGATTTATGCGAAGAGCACAATATATTCATTCGGATTGCTTAGTTTAATCATGTTAACTCTAGTTTACTTCGTTTTTATGTGTTTTTTTTGTTGTGATTATGGGCTAATACCATAACCTTTTTTTTTTGGTGATGATGAATCCGAATACTATGAATTGATTTTGCTATTTATGGATTTATTTATGTTGGTTTAGCTTGTGTTTGAGAGATCGATAATCCTACATGTTAAAGTTCTAATCTTTATTTCTTTTTCTGCAAGTTTTGTGTAATTAGTTGATAACTCTTATTGCATGAACTTGATATCTATTTGTGTATGACCATTAAATTGCTAGATCTAGTAATTGAACAAATCCTAGAGTTAGGTGGTAAAAGTAGTATCTTTGATTGTGTTAGAGAGCATTATTGATCCATAATATGTGATTGACTTGCTTTTCTTGATGATAGATGAGTAGTCATTAGATGTTATCATTCCTAGTCCAAATAATCCTTAAAATCAATTTTGTGTCCAACGTATGCTTGACCATTGCATAGTAGTTCATGAATTGGTGAATACTAGGAATTGTAACATCATAACTAGTAAACTCATAATTTGGTAACCAACATATTTAATCCATTAGAAATCAACCATAAGAAAAGGGGGGAATCAAAACAAAACGAAAGTACTCTTAAATCTTGATTCAAAATCGTTTTCTACTTGCTTGCTTAGGTTTAAAGTTCTAGTAGTTGTTTAATTGTTAAAATTGCTCGATTTAAGTTGTTGGTCTTGTAAAATCAGTAAAAAACCTAATTTACTGTCTCTTCTTTAGTTTAATTAGTAGTAGTTAATTTTCTAGTTAAAATTTTCGTTCCCTGAGTTCAACACTCGACGTACTTTACTATACTACTACGCGACTAGGTACACTGCTTATTTGTGTTTTAGCTGGTAGAACTAGTTAGGTTTATAAATTAAAATTGTTAAGTGAAATTAAAACACACCATCCATTTTGGGATGCCCGGACATTTACTATATGTCGTTTTTTAAAGTCCTAGAAACTATCCGAAACTTTTGGAATGGTTAAGGAGTTGGGTTTTCTGGGATTTGATTTGGGAGAAAGAAAGGTTACTTAGAATAGTTGGAAGAAAGTGATGTCTAGTAAATCCAACAATGTCCTTGGAACTATTATTCTTTTCGTTTAAAAGTGTTCTCCTTTTTAAGTGGATATTGTATTTTCTTGAAGATAATAACACTTTGTAGGTTGGTGTAATCAAATCACTTCATGGTGATATTAGTTATATTGTAGTTGGGTTGATTCGATACAACCCCCGGGTATGCTATTATTCACACGACATATCATCTTAAAAGGAAAGGGTGCCACATGTTCTCTGTTGTAGACTTCATGTGGTATATAGCCAGAGAACCATAATTTGGGAGGACGTTTGGGTTGGTGATGCCCCATTAATGTACAAATTTTATAGAATTTACTCACTCGAGGAGCGGTATCTTTGTATTCTCAATGATTGGTTATGCATGTCAGAGTGGCAATTTGTACCTTCGTAGATTGTCAGGGGAGGACGCACAATCGAATGAGCTTCAACATATTATTCCTTTGTTGTTTTATCGGATTAACGTGACATGTGGGGCGTGGGATCTAGATTCCAATAGTAATTATTCAGTGGCTTTTATCAAGTTTCTTTTTGATGATGCCTTATTGGATGTGGCTACTACTCCAATAAAATTGAATCATTTTGGCATATAAAGTTAAACGTACCGACTTGTATGTTAGGCTTAGAACTTTATGGATAAGTGATTAGTGTTAATTCTACTATATGCTATGTGTGTGACTTAGGTTATGATATTGCCAACCATATTTTTATTAATTATCTTGCTTGTTATGTCTACATGGCCTTAGATTGCGAAGTCGTAAGATGTTGACTATCATACCCTTCATAATTATAAGGATTTGGTTATGTAGTCTAACAAGGATAATCTTAAGACTAGGAGTGGGAGGCGTTAAACCTCGCTAAGCTCACACCAACACCTCTCATTCTATCAAGTATCTTTTTGATGATGCCTTATTGGACGTGGCTACTAGTCCAATAAAATTGAATCATTTAGCATATAAAGTTAAACGTACTGACCTGTATGTTGCGCTTAGAACTTTATGGATAAGTGATTAGTGTTTATTCTACTGTATGGCATGTGTGTATCTTGCTTGTTATGTCTACATGGACTTAGATTGCGAAGTCGTAAGATGTTGACTATCATACCCTTCATAATTACAAGGATTTGGTTATGTAGTCTAACAAGGTTAATCTTAAGACTAGGAGTGGAACGCGTTAAGCCTCGCTAAGCTCACACCAAACCTCTCCTTGTCTCTCATCAAGGAACCCGCCAAGCAACCCTCACCATCCAATTAACAAGAAGAGAGAAGATAAAAAGGGGAAAAAGTAGGTTGTCATTAGTGCTCTCTAATTTCTTTTTCCAAAATCAAACATATTTAAATGACACCACCTCCACTCCCCAATTACGTGTGTTTTTGGAAAATGCTTATGTGGCTTCAAAAAGGCTGTTGTAACAACATGTTAAGCTCACCACCACTTCATCTAGTCTAATGCTGTGTTGTTAAGCTCACCACCACTTCATCTAGTCTAATGCAGTTACAAAGAAAACCTTCGATGCGGTATCGTCATGAGTTCTTAGATTCTATGAATCTTTCAGACTAGAACTACTTTTTGAATAGCTATGCATTGAAAGGTGGAGATTTTTGATAAGTTGGTGTATCATTCGGCTTTTTTTTTTTTTTTTGGATTTGTAATAGAAACAAGAAAAACTGAAATTGGATTTGTTGGTTGCACCATCCTAGTCTTCTGGTCGGTATTAGTTTTTGATAAAATTATATGGTTCCAAAAGAAAATACTAATTCTCCGCTTGGTTGATCGACAATTTTACAGTTGACAAGTGCTCCCCCTCCCATTCATTTGAAAGTTTGGTAATATCCTTTATATTTAAACAATCAGAATAAAATAGAACTAAAAATACAATTGTTAAAATTACAAGTTTTTAAGATTTAATGTCTACAAGTTGGTGATAAATCCAGGAAGCTACGTACAACTACAGAATCCTATGTCAAATGTTTTCTCATTTTAATATTAATTAATCTTCTCTACAAGTTTAATGTCCATGTGTTTTGCAAGGAAATGACCAAATTGCCCATATCTTTCTTTTCCCTTTTCCCTTTTCTTTAATCATGTGGAGTGTGACTTGCTCTCTAAGTCAAAAACCATGCAACAATACTATAAAATACTTAATATGGGCATTATAGTATTCAATGGACGCTTGGTTAATGGTTATTATTACTATATTTAAATGTTATACATATGACTTTTCATGTTAAGTTTTTAATTAATCAAGCTACATATTTGTGCGTTGTTACTTTTATACTTCATTGATGATTGATATGAATTTTTTTTTGTTGTATATTATTACATTTTACATATTTACCACTTGGAACCCTTTTATTCCAGTAAATAATTTATATACATAGAAATTCAATTCACAGCTACAGTAGATTATTATAAGTTGCATATGCATGCACCCTTGAAGTTTAACAAATATACCAGAAATCCCCAAGGCTTTTTATATTTTGTTGTCTAAACTTTTTTTTTTGTTATATATTAGGAAATATAAATTATAAACTAATAGTAATTGTATAATATTTTCCATTCAATTTTTACATATAATAGTTATACACCGAATGAAACGTATGCTTACGACTTTATATACTTGTGATAAGCAAGAAAACAGAAATTCATTAATAAAGTTTTGAAGTTACCTTGGTTACTTTAAAAATACGCCAACTTGTCTCCTACATATTGACTATAAGGTGAGTAATGAAAATATCCAATTACCTTTATAAATACTTTGCATATGCACGAAAGGTTCCAAGCTAGCAAAAACTCATAGTCAAACGGGACGTTTATGTAATAAACATTAATTCCAAGGACAAATCAGTAATTTCATTCTTCCGTATTTTAAAAGAAACTAAGAAATAAAAAAGAAAAACACCTGTCAACCATTTCACTTGAAGACTATATAATCAGAACTTCCATTGATTTTATCTTAACCATCACTAGTCTTCTGCAGCTATTCAACACAACAAATTTGATTACTTATTCATTTATTATCCGTTTTTAGCTCCAAAAACTTGATTTTATTTTGTTGTTAAAACATCAGCCGAAAGATTCAAGATTCACGTTGTCTCGTGTGTTATTTGTTCGTCTTTACTCTGAGAAATGGTGAAGAAAGAGCTCAAGGTTGAAAATGAGTTGTCGAGAACATCTTCGTCTATGATTAGCAAGAAGAAGTACAAAGGAGTGAGAATGAGGAGCTGGGGTTCATGGGTTTCAGAGATACGAGCACCCAATCAAAAAACACGAATATGGCTAGGATCCTACTCGACTCCTGAAGCAGCAGCTAGAGCATATGATGCAGCCCTACTTTGCCTAAAAGGTCCCACCGCAAATCTTAACTTCTCTCATACCCAATACGATCACGACTATTCCACCACCATCATGTCTCCCAAATCCATCCAAAAGATTGCAGCGGCCGCTGCTGCTTCCACCGCCACCACTACTCCATCATCACCATTACCATCGTATCCATCACCTTCACCATCATCATCACCATCACCATCGTATTCCTCATCCGTATCCTACAATACCTCTACACCACCAACCACCAACACAACCGAAGAAGATGATGCATTCTTTTCAGCAAATGATCCTCTTGATGGTACCTTGATGTCGTTGGTTGCACCATGGTACAACTTCGGTTCACCATCCTACGATGATGTGATGTTTGATACATCCTTCTTCGAGCTCGACCAGTCTTCGTCCACCATCACCAAAGATGTTTGCGAAGAAGAAAGTGGTGATATATATCTTTGGAGCTTCTGCAGATAATTTTTTTTACTTAATTTCTTGATGATTCTTTTATTATCTTCATATTGAAGAAACTTATTAACTGACATATTTACAAATTTTCATTTAGTTTTCACAAAATTGAATTAATTTATTTATTTGTAAAAGGGTGTGGGGAATAATTTTTTTTGATGATCCCATGTGAGTCTCTTTGAAAATATAGTATTGTATGTTACAAATGTGATGTTCTTTGTCTCCTTGATTTAAATAAAAAAGAGAGAAGACAATATTTTATTGGTTATTATTTTTTTTCTTAATGTTATAGAACTCATTATATATATATATATATATATATATATATATATATATATATATATATATATATATATATATATATATATACTAGAAAACAAAGGATTTACCTATGAAAAATACATACGGAACCTTGATTTAGCAACGAACTTGTGACAGAATAACTACGAAATAGTGACAGATTTAATTCTGTAGGAAATCCGTCCATAATTACTGAGAGAATAGCTACAAAATCACGACAGAATATATGTAGTCAAATTAGCTACGTAATTGCTACGTAATACCGACGAGTTATAGTAATAATAATAATCGTAACGCCCCATTTTTACCGTTCTGTAGGATTCAAAATAAACCAATGTTTATAAAATTCGAAGTTGAAATATATTACTTTTTAGCCCAAATAATTTTCATAAGCATGTAGGAAACATCGATAAAATTTTGAAGATATATAGAACGATTAGATCCAACTTCATATAAAGGAGTTATGCTTCTTCGAAGTTTCGCGATTATACCGGCACGACTCTGCGTATCGTAAAAAGTGAATTTTTGATAAATTACTTTTTAGCCTAAGAGATCTAAACTAAATTCATAGTAATCGTTACACCGAGAGTGTGCATATGGAGAACGTCTAAATCTAAATTCATTAGAGGAAGTTATGATTTTTCTAAGGTTCGACACAACAGTGTACAACTCAAAAATCGAATTTTAGATCGGTCGATTTTTAGCCTGCACAATCTAAACGAGAATTGAAGATCTTGTTAATAGGAGTTCAACGACATAAAGACATTCGAAACAGACTCTGGATAAAAAAAAGTTATGCATTTATACAGACTTTAACAGTTTAAGCTTGTGTGAAAAAATAAATTCAAAATTAACAGACGAAGTCTATGTGAAAGGTTTAGATCTCGTCGAGAGCTTTCCGTGGATATAAAGAACATAAAAAATGGAGTTCGTATGAAAAAGTTATACAATTTTCAAAATATTAAAATCGGCACACGCGCGTGCGTCTCGCGTAGCTTGCGCCCGAGGTCAACAACGCTGCTCCAACCAATGAGTGCCACATGTTATAATGTGAGACACCATGTCTTACGACATGAGAGGCCCCAAATCTGCCTATAAATAGCTTTCATGAGTTCATTCTTCTCCCACATTTCTCATACTTTCCTCTCTCGCATTTCTACTGCCCTAGCCTAATTTTTTCATAGTGCTTAGGGAATTTGGCAATACCTTGAGGTCTCTTGGAACCCGGCTAATAAAAGCTTTCAGTTTCGGAGTCCCGTCCACATAATATTCCCGGTTTTTGCTAAAACTTTTGTAAGTTAAGCTATACTCTCTTGCTTTCAGTGTAACTTATATTAACTTATATTTATAGTCATAAGTCGTTATTATGAACCTATAAATAAAATTTATCAATGATTCCAAGCATGGGCGGAGCTAGGATTTTTAGATAAGGTGGGCTTATAGCTTTATATATATTAATTTTTTTTACCACGATTCACCTTTTTCCATCTATTAAGTCTTATTATGGTCAAAGTATACTTTGACTTATAAAGTTGGTATGAGGATCATGAGTCAAAGAATCTAAATTTACCTCTTATAAATTTGAAATATCAATTTTTTTTAGATTAATCATTAATTGACATTTCCATATTAATTTTTTCCGAGGTTATGTGCATGTATTATGAACATCTATACTAATATTATCATTAGCAAGATGCAGTTGTAGGCCAGGAACATCTTTTTCTTGCTGATGGTTTACCTTATGATTATAAGAATTAAAAAACCAATCTAAATATTATTATTAAATGCAAATTATATTGTTCAACAAAAATATTTAACACAAGTTTTAAAAAACTTAAATATATATTAATTAAGAAGAATTGGATATTACCTTTTCTTGAAATTGAAGTAGATATATGACCGCGCCGATAAATTCAGTTGCAGTAGCCTCTTGCCCTCTTTGCCGACGATTTGTAATTGTCGTAGGTATGCAATTGTGTTTATATACTGTGTAGGTAAATTGTAATCGCACGATACATAATTAGGCTATAGAGGGGGCTGGTGGGCTTATGAGTGGATTTCTTTTGGGCTTAAAACATTTAAATGAGGTTTATTACTAATAAAGTAATAGTATATAATACAACTAATATAACAAAAATAAAAGAAGGTTAGGTGGCAGCGCATCTGCTAGGCCGCCTATTGCCTTCGCCCCTGATTCCAAGTCACAATACTGATTGAACTACTTACGGGAGTGGTGTCTAGAATGCTCATGTTGGCTTGGTTTTTTGATTTCAGAAAGGCTATATGCCGAAATGGTCATGCCTCCCAACTGTCATGTCTGACTGATTCTTATTTGATAGAACTCTCAGTATTCATTGGGATCAGTGAAAGATCTTGTTTTCAATACCAAATCATTACAGAAATTAATATGATAAAGTATTACATGTTAATACTTATTTGGCACACTATCCACCAGTTGAATTGCCCAGATAGCTGTTAATATTCTGAGTAATTGTCTAGGTGAGTTTTATCACTATATTATGTGCTCCAATATATATCCTATGTATGTTAGGATATAGTTACTCTGTAGTATGCCGCTAGGCTAGCTCTGTTCGTTGCCATTAGTATTGGATTATTGCTTGTTGTATTGTTTATATATATATATATATATATATATATATATATATATATATATATATATATATATATATTATGTGGGGAGTTGAGGGCGGACCAACCTCGTGATGATGGCGATTAGACTCGGGTGGACTAGGATTATGCTAAAGGCCAAAATGTGGACCAGGTATATGCTGAATGCAAAAAGGGCGGACCAGCTTTATGTCGATGGCCATTATGTGTATGCATTGTATATATATTGTGGTATATAGTATTTTGGGGAACTCACTAAGCCTAATGCTTACCCAGTTATTATAAATGTTTTTTAGGCACTTCATTTGTTCGTGAGAAGGGTAAGATTCGACTATACACATGCACATTCGCAATCATGTTTCCACATTATACTTTGATGTATTTGAATATTTTAATAAATAAAAATGAAAATATTAAGTTGAAAATCGGGACGTAACAAGTTGGTATCACTGGTTTTAGCAAACTGGATGAAAACTCGTGTGATTCCAGACTCAAACCAAGGATCTGATTATCTTAATAAATCTTTTCTTAAAAAGAATAATACCAAAAATTCAAGAATATGATACTTACAGTCAGCCAAAGCTCAGAAAGGAAAGTGATTCGCAAAATATCCATATTTGTTATGTTTACTGATATGTGAAACGTTAGTAATGCATGCTTGTATGTAAGTTACAGAATTACTTGTTATTTGCTGCTTAGAACCTATATTAGTATTAGTTAGTTACTTGACAAATACGTTAAGTTGCATGCTCCCAGAATTAAATAGTTTTAGATTGCCTAATTTGGTTCTATTTCGCAGCTCTTGTATGAGTCTAACCGTTGTGCCAGATCTTTCAATAAACAGGTTGTTTGGTTTTAGAGGCATGAAATCATTTTTTCAGTAGTTGGTTAATATTGGTAGAAGTTTTCCTCGACAAATAGTAGGGTGGAGTGGAAGAAATCCTAGAAAAACTCTTTTAGGAATTACATCTTATAAGTACCTGATAAATTAGATGTCTTATAGCTTATGGATTTTCTTGTTGATTGTTGCTTAGAACCTATACTGATATTAATTAGTTATTTGAAAAATACGTTAGGTTACATGCTCCCAGAATTAAATAGTTTTAGATTGCCTAATTTGTCACTATTTCGCAGCTCTCGTATGAGTCTAGCCATTGTAGTGTCGGATCTTTCAGTCGACGGACTGTTTGATTTTAGCAGCATATATTCGTATTCGGCCGATAATTAATTAATATTGGTGGAAGTTCTTCCTCGGGTAATAGTAGGATAAAGTGGAAAGGAAACTTAAAAAGAGAATCTAAGAAGTTTAATATATGTTTGATAGGACAATTATTCGTAAGTTAGGGCATCAGTAAAGATGCAAAGTCCTAGTGGAGTCTAGGAAAACATGTTGTATATATGTGCTCATGGGACACACACACACATACACACACACACATATATATATATATATATATATATATATATATATATATATATATATACGTGTTTAGTGGTTATCGCGTGTAGTGTCAGAAGTGACTTGGAAACTGCAGGACAATTTTTGGGACAAGTATGAGTATGTGTGAAAGGTAGTAGAGGCCTATACTACCCGAAGCATAAGAATCACACTTGGATCAGGAAGAGTCAGAAAGTTTCTAAGGCACTGGTAGATTGGTAGATAGTGTGGCTAACACTATGGATTCGTTTCATTATTGTCATTACCTATTATACGGTGATGTCTAGAAGAGTGACTCTAAGTTCGGGCCCAAGTATCCATATAAGACCGAGTCTGATTTATGCAAGTAAGTTAGATTCTAAGAACCTTGTCTTACATAATGCCAACTTTATTCGTGATATTTAAGAAGGAAATAATCAAGATAATCGACAGAAGAATTCCAACCATTGTTAAAGAGAAGCAACTAATAACTAGAGTTGCTACCTGTTGGGGCATGGTTGCAAGTCGACCCCTATAACCCAAGAAGAGAAGGATGGAGTAAATTCATCAACCTTTGTTGCTATTAGTAGTTTTACTACGTTAGTAGAATCCCTTATACCGTTAGTTATAGGTGTGCGTTTGTGCGTTTCAAGACAACATTGTG